AATGCGTAATTTTTGCTTGGTTTTTTCTTTTAACAAAAATTTATGGTTTTATTAGACATTTTTAAAAAGCACTTATTTTCACAATGGCCTTAATTACATATGAAATTTTAAATAAAATTTTTGAGTGCCACAAAAGCACAAGGACAAATCACCATTGTAATATCTTTAACTATTTAATCAACCAAGAAGTTATAACACAATGATGCAATTACATTAAAATTTCAAGAAGGAAAATATAGAGGTTTGATTCATATCATTGCGTAGCTTCACCTCAAACCAAAAAAAGGAAAAATAGCATCTAAATGTGCTAAACTTTGCAATCGTGTAGAATGGAGTTATGGAGGCTATATTGTAGCACATTGAATATGAAGTAAGCCTATTAGGTTAACTTTTTTATTTTTTTTTGGTCATACTTATCTTATTGCTAAAAAAATTTGGTCCGAACAACTAAAATCCAAAGAGGCTTATCTTAAGATCCATGGTGGAAAATGACCATACGATGAATTAGGAACATGTAAAGACAAGGCATATTTAACAACAATTTGTGCTAACTGGTCATATAATCGATGAACAAAATTAAAACTCCAAGAGGTGCGAGAAAAAGACATTCCGGATGTATTAGGTGAATAGATTATGGCATCATTCATTTCTTATTTTTGTGTCTCATTTAAGCAATTGCTTTATTAAATATGTTATTGTTTACATAAATGCTATGACATTGATCAAAATTAAATTAGTAGAAGCTGCATATTCAAGAAAGTGAACCTTTCTAACTTGTCGGTGCCAAAACTTCAAGTCACGGTACGTAGAGACAAATGCATTTGATCGAGTGAAGTCATTAAATCACTAGAAGATTCTGTTGAAGCGGTTGAGTCATCACTAACATCTTTGTTTTCAAACCAAATAGAGTGTTGGTCAATAACAACTCGTGTTAGTTTGTGACATTGATTTGTCAAATTATGATGAATTCACTTTCTTTGTCAAATCTATTGATTTTTCAGTAAATGATTTTATTTCACAAAATTTTAATTATTGTAAATATCCAACAACCTAACAAACTTGCTAGAGGAGAATATGAGAATGTGGAAACCAAAAGAAAAAACAGAGAAACGTGCACAAATATGAAAAAACATGCACAAAATAAATGACAGACATAAAATAAATGAGAAAAAAAAAATTGTAAATCAAAGGAAATTGTTTCTGATGCAAGTGAGAATTGTGTTCAGTGCAACTATTAATTGCAAAGATTCCAATGATTTGTAATTATTTTTCTCATTTCAAATTTATATGATATTTCCCCAAAAATATATAATCTTCTGGTTCTTATCCTGTCTCCAAGCCAATTTGGTGAATTCAGCGATGAATTTGACATTTGAAATTATGTACAAATGACAACTAGAAAGTGTAAGAAGAAGAAAATGTAGTGCAGAGGGGAATAATTTACACAAATACACAAGTAATGATAGATAACTTGAAAAATCATACAAAAATATTAGCAAACAATGTTACAGACTAAGAAGTACAGACATGACATGTGGGGACATGTGCAAAATATATAATTTTATATATTTATTATGTGAATATTTAAGTGAAATAATTTTAAAATCCTAAATAAGGAGAATAGGTATAAATCTACATTGTTTTCGTTTTGTGATTGAATTCTAAGCTATTTTATTTAAACAGTGTTAAACACGAGACGTTACATTCTTAGAAGTGTCCATACCTTTTAGGTGACAGATTTAAGTTTAGTAATTTTAAATCAAAATATCTATTAAAGTATCTTGTTGTTTTAAAAATGTCATTGTCATGCTATTTTGGTAGACTATTTAGTTTAGGAAAATACTATACAAATACATATTTTTCTACTAAATTTTCTTATCACCTCTAAAAATAAATTCAATGAATCTCATGTACATTTGTTAATGAAAACCATAGTATATCGTATCTGATGATTAAAAAATGAAAAATCTATTCATATATAACATTATTTTTTATTAGCTCCATAAACTATCTTGGGAAGTACAAACATAGTCTTTGATTAGATAAATCCAAGTCGTAGACTGATCAAAAAAAAAAAAGTTAGCTATTTGAGGCTTGTAAGTTCCATTATGCTAAGTTGTTGGAAATTGACAATTCCTCATATGACTTCACCATATTTGATCATTTTTACCAACTTTGTTTCTGTTCTTCTATACATGGTTTAGCATAACCTTACCATTTTGGCTAGCCCACAAAGTGGACATAAGAAATACCCATGGTATCCTCTGTTTCCATTTCTCAAAGTACTTACAGTAGATAAATTATGTCTCGAAATTTTCATACTTCAAGATGCTCACAAGATTCAACAATTATGATCGTTTTGGAAATTTTTGTCACTAAATTGCCACATCTCTCTCTATCTCTATGTGAAATTCTTTTATATTTTACAAATCATGGTTTAAATAACGATATGGGGAAAAGATTGTTATTGGTCGTGATGTAATGATATTAGGAGCATCGAATGTTATGTATGAGGAATTAACTGCCATGAATGTGAATTTTTTAAAATCATCAATAACATTAAAAAAATAAAATAATGAAGAAGAAGAAGCAGCAGTAGCAGCAACTTTATAGTGGCTTTAAATTGGCTAGAACCAATATGTATCAAAAATCAACATACAATTTTCAATCTAACCTATATACCGAAGTGTCTCGATATTAGAAATTATAAAAATTCAATATGTATGAGCCTATATTTAAACAATTGTGAAACGTACTTGTAAAAATTACTTTGTATCAAATGATCACATTCATTCTCGATATAACTTAGATATACTGAGATTAATTTTCAAACTATATATTCTAAGCACATAACATTTTTCATATTTATAGATATACTGAGATTAATTTTCAAACTATATATTCTAAGCACATAACATTTTTCATATTTAAAACCTTTTTTTTTTTGGACAACTAGGTGTGGATCACCTTATGTACACCTCGACTAATCTCAATGTGTTGAAGTTAACGGCGAGGTAAACATTCAATGGCTCCTAAGATGACTTGAAATCGAAATTTTTGATCTTATACTTGGATCTAGGGGTGTGCATAATACCGTCGAAACTGCCAAAACCGCCAAAGTCGCACCGAACCGCACCGCCAAGGCAAATTTGTTATTATTTGCCAATCGAACCGCCGATTTTTGGTAAGAAAAATGGCAAATTCTAGTGACACTTTTATTAATCCGCTGGTTTTTATTTTTTTTCCAAACCGCACCGACCCGCACCGCTATTAAATCATATTTTATAAGATTCTAAATTTTTTTTTTTACTTAAGTTTGCTTGTTGTTCTATACCTTAGAATATAGTATTACATTACTGCTCGAGGGGAATTCAAGATGTCAGTAATCCAAAATAAAGTTGGATTCCAATTCACTTTTCAATCTTTTTTTTTTTCTGGCCATGTTGCAAACTTGCATCAGGTCACTTTTCAATCTAAATACTTTTCAACAGTAAACATTTTCAATATATTGTAAACCCTGAATGATATTAATTTTACGTATTGTATTTGATCATTGTAGCTTCCACAGATGCTTGTAATGAACTGATGGCATAGTCGTTGATATTATCATGTTGTTGCTACACTTGCTGCATCAGAAGAAAGCTTCGCAAGATGCTTAACATCACGGTATCTCTCGTCTTTTTTTTACTCTTTAATTTAAGTTTTGTAATTTGAATTATATTTTTTATAAACCGCCAATTCGCCCGAACAGCTAAGGCAAATCCGCCATTATTTGCCAACCGAACTGCTGGTTTTTGATAAGAAAAATGGCAAATTCTAGTGACACTTTTATCAATCCGCCACCCGCCATACGGTTTCTGTTTTTCTCTCAAACCACACGGACTCGCACCGCGCACACCCTTACTTGGATCTTTACTGTTCAGCTAACCTCTTAGGTTTTCATATTTAAAAAAGAAATAAAAACATAAACACACTAAACTCGAAAGTTGATAAGTTAAGATTATGTTTAAATCATGAATTTGGGTAGAAATTTAAAAAGAAAAAATATGTATGATATGTAAGTGAAATGTAATTATATTTTATTCACATTTTATCTTCTTTTTTTTTTCTTCTCAAATCTCTATCCAATTTTATAATTCAAACTAGGGGTGAGCATGGTCCGGATTGGACTGGATTGGGATAAAACCAGGACCAATCCGTTATCTACGGTTTCTGAAAAATTGGAACCAATTCAATCCGTTTAAATCATGGAACCAATTCGAACCAATCCATTTAAATACGGATTGGATCAGTTTAGGACCACGGATTCACATAATTAAATAACAAAAAATATATATATAACACTTTAATTTCATAAAAACATAAACATAACGCTATATTTGTTCCACAATAGTAACATGTCTTTCTATAATAGCGACATACTGTTCTATAATTTAAACAAATATAAGAAAACTGATTTCACCATAAGTATTTAGACCATTACAAATTAAAACTAAAAACTAATAAACAAAAGTAATAAAAAAAGATATTATGCGGGTTTAGGTTTGAACTTAGATTTTATATGCAATAAGAGAAGATACTATGGATGAGGATGTATAATAAAAATATAGACTATTTGTATACGGTCCGGATCGGTTCCAATCCGGAACCATGGGGTTCAATCCGGAACCAATTCGTAGACTACGAATTTTTAATTCTTCAATCCGAAACCGAACCACGGATTCAAAAAATCAATTTAAACCTACTAAATTGGACTGAACTGGATCGGATTACGAATTTCACGGATTCCTTACTCAGCCCTAATTCAAACACATTCTAAATAATCTAATGAAAGTTCCTAGTTTCTTAATAAATAAATAAATAAAAGTCTAAATCTGGTTTGTGGGCAATAATGTCTTTTTGAAACAACCAAACAAAAGTGCAGCCGTTCTCTCCTTAGCTATTTATCTAAACAAAAGAAAGAGCCGACTCATTTTCAACTGTGTATGAGAGAGAGAGAGAGAGAGAGAGAGAGTTGGCGTCTTTTGCCCTCTACGCAGCTTAAAACACGCAGAGGCAAACATAGAGAGCCCCATTGACACGTTTCAACTCATTCAATCCCATTCTTCTTCATCTCAATATATATCCCAACCCAACTTTCTATATTATATCGAGATTTTAGATTTTCGATACTAATATCCATCGATATATATATCAGTTAATACGGTCTCATATCGATATATATAGCAGAGAGAGAGAGAGAGAGAGAGAGAGAGAGAGAGAGGAGCTGTGAGCCAAATTCACGAGATGAAGGAAGATAAAAATTAAAGAAAAAAAAAGTGGAAGTACTTGGCTTATCGCATGTTTGCTTCACGCAAGCAGCTAACACTGTGTGTGTGTGAGAGAGAGAGAGTTTGCTTCATCGCGTGGCTTTAAAGACTTCATTTAGTGTTTAAACCCCAAAACAAAACAACCCCAAAACAAAACAACCCCCACCAAACCCTAGAACCCCATCTTCTCTCTCTCTCTCTCTCTCTCTCTCCTCTTCAAGAACCACCACAAAGAAACCCTAATTATGTGATGTCCAAAACCAGCAAACCCAATTTCTCAACAAAATGAGTGCAACCGCAAACCCTAGCAGCAGCGGCTCTGGTGGCGGAACTACCAGCGGAAACGGTGGAAGTGGCGGAAACGGTGGAAGTGGCGGAACCGGTGGTGGTGGTGCCGGGCCATGTGGCGCCTGCAAGTTCTTGAGGAGAAAATGCGTTGCCGGGTGCATATTCGCGCCGTATTTCGATTCCGAACAAGGTTTATCCCATTTTTCTTTGCCCTCTTCGTAATCATAATGTTTTATTGTCATTAATAAAATATTATTCTTTTTTTTTTTTTGATCAAAAAAAGGGGCAGCCCATCTTTTCAAATCAAGATCCTCTCTTTGATCTCTCTCATCGACTTCTTACTTAGAGCATTGGGTTCATTTTTGGGCTCAATTTTGATAATTCGAACCGTTCAGATTTTAAAATTTGTTGAGTATATCATACCTGTAAAAAATTAAGTTGATCGAATATCAGAAAGTACGTGTTCGGAAAATTATTTATTAATTTTTTTAAAAAAATTTTTTTTAGTTGGATGATCCGAACTATGGCCTTGTTTGGTTTGTTTTTCAGAAAAAATTTTCTGAAAAAATTTCTACAAACAAATTTTCAAAAGTAATCAAACCAAATAAATTTTTTTAAAAAAAATTTCAAAATTTTGTTTGGTTACCTACTTTTCAAAATCACTTACTTTCTCTCATACACATCAAATCAATCACTTTTTTAAAAATTTTCTCCCTAAAATAATTTTCCAAAACCATTTCTAAAAAAAAAACAAATCAAACAAGTTTTCGTACTTTTTATCTCAAAAACTACTCTACAGACACAAACCAAATACACCATATTCGATCAATTTGATTTTTTACAGATATGATATACTCAATAAATATTAAAATATGAATTGTATGAACAATTCAGATCATCAAAATTGGGCTCAAAAGTGGACCGGATAGCTCAACAAATAAGGAGTCAATGAGAGAGATCAAGGAGATGATCTTGATTCCATTTTTTCCCTATCTTATTCATAACGTTTTGTTTTCATTAATAAAAAATTAGTACTTTCTTTTTTTGGGCGATCAAAAAAAAAGGGTAGCCCATTTTTTCCCTCTTCCTAACATTTCATTTTCATTAATAAAATGTTAGTATATATATTTTTTGGTGATCAAAGAAAAGGGCAACTCATTTTTCTTCCAATGTTTTATTTTCATTAATAAAATATGAGTACTTTCTTTTCGGTGATAAAAAAAAAAAGGCAACTAATTTTTTCCCACTTTGTAATGATTTATTTTCATTAATAAAATGTTAGTATTTTTTGTGGATAAAAAAGAAGTGCAATTCATTTTTCTTTTCACCCTCTTTGTAATGATTTATTTTCATTAAGAAAATGTTAGTACTTTATTTTTCGATGATCAAAAAAACAAAAAGGAAGAGCAACCCTTTTTTGCCCTTTCGTAATGATATATTTTCATTAATAAAATGTTAGTACTTTCTTTTTTTGGTCGATCCAAAAACAAAGTGCGGCCCATTTTTCTTTTTCGCCATCTTTGCAATGTTTTATTATCATTAATAAAATGTTAATATTTTCTTTTTCTTTTTTTGCCTATAAAAAAAAAAAGGAGCGGCGCATTTTGCGGCAGTGCATAAGGTGTTCGGAGCGAGCAATGTGTCGAAATTGCTTCTGCACATTCCGGTGCACAGGCGGCCTGACGCGGTGGTGACAATTTGTTATGAGGCGCAGGCTCGCCTGAGAGACCCCGTCTACGGCTGTGTTGCCCACATCTTTGCCCTCCAACAACAGGTACACATAATCATCAATCCATATATTCTCTAAAGTTAATAATTCTTGTGTAAATTTAATTAAGGGCAAACTTCAGTTTGACTATCTATGATTTGAATCATGTGGGGTTTACTTTTTAACATTTGGAAATGACCATATAATTCCATTGTGGTTCGCGGACTGAAGTATACCATTAACCCCCTTAAAGATTTAATGAAAAAGACTAAAATATTCTTATATTTTTATCATTTATTTGAAATATAAAGTGTACTTTAACCTCCTGTGCTTTGTTTTATATGCGATTTACCTTGTTGAAATTTGAAAATGAGCATATAATCCTCTTATCTTGTCTTGTGCTTCTCACTTGCTGTTTTGTTGGACGAAATGTTTAATAGTATTTAGCAGTACACGTCAGTTCACAAACCATATAAGGGTTATATAGTCATTTCAAACTATTAGGAGAGTAAATCACACACGACCCAAACCATTGAAGTTTGGCCTTTAATTAATTAATGGGGCTCGTGGGTTTTGTGCATTTTTAAAAGATTTCTCTCTCTCTCTATATATATATATATTTGTGAAAATGTAGTCATTTTTTCATGTATTCTATTATTGGTTTTCCCTTATTTTTTTGCTTGGTAAGTATTTATTTGTTTCACTAATAAGAAGGTAAAACAATAAAATAAAAAAGAAATACTATACATAAAACGATTTAATTTTTTTTTTTAAAAAACTTCAAGTCACAATGTAATGAGTCATCACAGCAATATTGATTGATATAGATCTCATTGTCTTTTCTGTCAAGTTGTTAGAAAACTAAAATAAGAAAATTATGTATAGTAGTACTCTAAAAACATATTTTTCAAAAAATACATATATTTTGTTATATAAAGCATACGATTCATTTAGTGTGAACATTGTCAGTTTAAAAAAAAAAAAATACCTTGTACAATAATAATTACATTCAATAAATGCTAAATAATTTTTTTTCATTCGTCAAACTACTCAAAATTGTTAAATAATTTTTCTCTTTTATCAAATTACCTCTCAATAAAACCAACCTCTAATGTGAATGTATGATATATTTGTTTGTATGTACATATAAATGACTGAAGCCCACTTTACATTTGTGTGAAAATATTAAAACTAGTCTGTATATATATACCTATATATTATATATATGGACAAGTCAAGTCATGAGATTATTGTAATCTCATCTCTACAAGAGGAAGAAAAATCTTATCATCACAGTCAAAACGGTTAGGAGGGTATCATCATCAGGACATGAAAAGATGCATAAACATATATAATATAAGTATTATTGTCTTTGTTTTTGTTTTTTTTTTTTTAAACAAACGTAATTTAATTTGTAGAAGCAATGTTAGTGGAAAAAGCCCTTCCAAGTTGACAAAAGTGCATTCTCAAATCAAGTTTGATCAATTGTTGAAAAAAACAAAAAAAAAAAATCAAGTTTGATCACGGCTTCATTATTATTGAGTCAAATTCAAGAATCAAACTACTCATTTCTTCGTCTTATTAATTTGTGTGCATGCATGTTTAGAATTTTTTTTTTTTTTAAGGAGTTAATTGGGTCCCAGTTAGAAAAAAGAAAAAGAAAAAGAAAAGAAGTTCAGTATGGTACCATTGGATTTGGGCCTATTGGATTTTGTTTTTTGTTTATTTGCATATTATGAAAAAATTTATAAAAAATAGAGAGGTGATCTGATTAAAATAAGTCAATAAGCTGGTTTTTTTTTGCCTTCTCAAAAGAGACCAGAGCATCTGCAACGGTAATAGGCATTTTACATATCTAAATATTACTATAAAGTATACATTTTATTTTGCCTATCAACTATTTTATATTTTTACTCCAACCATGCTCTTTATTTTAGCTGTTTATCCAAAAACTATTAATTTTATAGAATGTCACGTCAACAACAAAGATGGAGGGAAATGATCATAATGATTGAATACATTTTGCCTAGCGTTGAAGGCTAGCTACCTGTAGCTAGTGAATATAAGTTGAGCCAAAATGTCTAATCATATGCCCAGTGCATTGGAATTGAAAAAAGTGAGTTACATTAGGTATTTTAACTAACAAGTATTATATGCCTAGTGGGTTGGAGATACTTGGAGTTTATTATTTTTCTCATTTCGATGATCTAAATAATTTATTTTATAAATTGTTGTGTGTAAATCGATAATGAAAAAGTCAAATTGATTCAATAATTGTAATAACATAATTTTATTATATTTGTCTATTTTTTTTAAAAGTAAATATGATAAAATTATGTAGTTACAATTATCGAGTTAATCTGATTTTTTATGAATGATTTACACACAAAGATCTAAAAATAAATAAATCAAATTATCAAAGTGCCACCTATGGTAGACCTCACAAACCCAAGTGGATTGAATTGAAGGGAGATCTTTGTTTTTTGTTTTCGCAAAAGTTATGTACCTTGAAAAGTATTCCAAAAATGAAATATAAGGGGTAGAATTTTTTTTGGGGAGGTATAAATCACATCCAAAATAATATAATCCACATAATTTTATATCTTTTGGAAATAATTTTAAAATGTTGTTTTTAAGTACATACTATTAATGTTTTATTTTAAGTTATAGGTAGAGTACCATTTTTAAAAAGCACACAAGAAAGTGTGGACCATTGTTTTTTTATATTAATTTGATTTATGCATTGTTATAAAATGTTGTTTTATTTATTTATTTATTTTTTTGTATTCAATAAATTTTGTATAGATTTTTCATAAATTATATATTTTTTAAGTATATCTAAATAAAGTGATTTTAAAAAGTAAAATAAAAAAATAAAAAATATTAAAGATATTCATAAAAAAATCTCTAAAAATTTCAAATTCAACCTAATGCATGTGATTTTATTTTAAGATTGCCTCTGTTTGGAAGAGGCTTTTTGGGCTTTTTTTGAGCTAAAATAGTCACAAAAAATAAAATAAATTTTTTAGTCTAATAAGACAAAACTCACAGCCAACCTATAATCATTACATTCTTTCTCTCACAAAAAAATCAAAAAAGTTAAAAATGTTACAAGTCTATCTTAAATTAAACTTTTTAATTCCAAGTTAAAATAGTTAAAAAAAAAAAAAAAAAAATCAGTCCATTTCTAAGGGTCTTGGATTTGTAGAAGGAAAAGCCAAAAAAAAAAAAAAAAAACCAATCCATTCCCCAAAGGAGAGAGATGGGAAATACCACAATCATCAATAAGAAAGCTGAACAAGAAAGTGTGGACATTGGGTGCTATAGTATATATATATAAACATAGACAATGCTGAAATCTAGAAGCGGTGATTGATTGATTAACTTAATCATTTGTCGGCGTTTACCACAAAGAAGGACTGTGCTGCCCCACTTTCTGTGCAAAAACTATCTCAATGAATGTTGGCTGCTATTAAGGAGATGGTCGGTCTGTTCAGCCCTTTACTTCTATCATTGTTTATGTAAGGTGAAGGGTCACTTCACATATTTTTAGGGTGTCACCATGACAGAATTTATGCATATAAAAATATTTATAAAAACTTTAATACTTATAGTACATTGCTTAAAATATATTTTAATTATGAATCACGTTGTATAATGGTTGAGCAAAAGTGATTTAAAGATTGTTTCAAATGATTTAAATAAGTATATTTTTTAATTTTTTTATAAAAAAATGTAAAAAAAATAGAGGCGGTTGAACTAAATAAGTGCACTTATTTAGTTGGCCGTTTAAAATCTATTAAAAAACTCTTAAATATTTTTAGGGTGTAACAAACCTGTTTATTGATATTTTTTTAATGATAATTATAATCTCAATTAAAATTATTATAATAAACACAAACTAAATTGAAATATCCACCCTCCCAAAATTCAAAATTGAACACCGAACCCTGACAAAACCAAATTGTGCACTCACCTTTGAAAACCCAACGCACATGGTCTATCATTCTTAGAACCACAATGCTAAACGAAACTGATTAAGAAAATTGGGTAATGAAGCATGATCGAGATAGCGCGGAGGAGGCTCAAAGTGTATTGGTAAGTTTTTTGAACAAAAAGTTCAATTATAATTGACAAAAAATAAAAATAAAACTTAGCATAATACTTAACATATTTTTATATATTTCCTCATTGGCTTAGAATCCCAAATGGAGACTTGGCGCTCCACCGGCATTGTCGCCTTGGTGGGTTTGGGGAGGAGGGGTGTGAATCTGTTAGGTTATATTTTAGTGAGTACCCATATAGGTGGATGTGTAATATTTTAGAGGAGGGATAGTTTTGCTTTTTTGATCAGCAAAAGAAAGGAGAAATTTATTGATGAAAGAGAAGATAAATACATCAATAAAGGAAAAAAGGGATGAGTGCAACAAGCATCATAGTAAAACAAATCGATCCCAACTAGGTTGGCATCGAAAAGATCGCCCAATCATATGCTAGGACAACATCAAAAGTCGATGAGAAACCAACCACAAAATCAAAACCAACCTCACCCATGTATAAGATCACCACACCTAATACAAATTACACCCAAAACTAACAACCAGCCACAATACAGATTGACAGATTGATGAAAGAGGAGGGATAGTTTTGGTATTGTGTGGGGGAGTTCCTTAGAAATTTTATCGATGTTTACATTTTACCAGTGGACATTTAAAGAAATGGGGAGTCCTTAGAAAAAAAAATGTGAGAACTATTAGCGCCACCCTATTTTTATTGCTGAAGGTTTCAAATTTTAATGGATACAATAGACTAGAATTTTATTTTAGTGTTTAGTCTGATATCTTGAAAATTCTTAAACTACTACTATGGTTAAAATGAATTAAAATTGGTGTATATCTAATTCACCCATATCCACATTCATATATATATATATATACTAGTGGGTGGCACACACACGATGTGTGTGCAAATTAAATAAATAGGAATAAAAGAAAATAATAATGAAATTAATATTATAATGTGTACTTAGCTTAAGTGGTATGAGTCCTCATACTTAAACCCATGGTCATGGGTTGCCCATCTCTTTGTTTAACTTTTTTAAAAAAAATAAAAAACACTGCCACATGGCATGAGGAGAGTGAAGCAAGCTTCAGGACACCATATTATGTGTTCACTTTATAATAGTATAGATAGATATATATATATTCATGTTGTTATAGGATTTTGCAATTTTAATGTCATAGCATATAAATAGTTTGTTGAAACTGAGCTAATTTAGATAGTTAGCATTTATGATTTTCATATAAAAAAGTTATGAGTTCGAACTTTAAGATATGATCTAATAGTTAAATATTTCATTTTTCAATTCTATTTGAAACTATTTCAAAACTTTGGCTTGACAAGTATAGTATATGTGGAACATAGGCTGCATACATCTAGAGATTAATTGGTCCGAAGCCCTAAAATAGATAGTCATATGAAATTTCATTTTAGTTTAAGCTAGTGCAAAATTTTTATTTGATACATTGTGAACATACACAAATTAAGAAAAGAAAAATATAACTGCATATATATATATATATATTTTATATATAGTACATACAGTTACATATATATATACGTAAAATGTAATATTACTTGTTTGACATGCACTAAAAAAATGTATTTTTTTGCATACATACACTTATTTGGGTCATATCAATCAATATTTTCTCTCTACTTTTCTATCCACTTTCTCTACTTTTCTATATATTTTTTTATAAAAAATTAAAAAGTATACTTAGTTAGAACATCTCAAATCACCCCTTACTTTGTGATATCTATAGATCTCTGTTTTCTTTTGTGGAGGATACTATTTGCCTCAATACTTAATGTATATATCATTTTATACATAAAATGGTCTCTAAAGTGTATTATCATTCTTCTCCCACCTTACATTCTCTTTTTATTTTATTTTATTTTATTTTATACCAAAAAAGCTTCTTTGTCTAATCAGAAATTGCTTCCATGGTATTTGAATTTTTTTATGTGTATATATGCAACTTACAAATCATATTGTACATACATGTGTACTTGTGTATATGGTGTAAATTTTTTCTTCATGTTTTGGCCCTTCGTGATGATGTCCCTAAGTGTAATGATCACTTCTTTTTTTTTTTTTTTCTTTTTTTAGTTATGTGCTATGAACATAAAAAAAATTTACAAAACAAAACACTAATATGAAACAAAGGTGCACATATGAGGCTCACATGTTGTCTCACATCTATATTTTACTAGACAAACAATGATGAATCTCACATGAATTTATTAACTTCAATTCCACTTAAATGAACTTAATATATTTTATTTTATTTTTACTTTTACTTATTATTTAATTTTTTTGATGACGACGAGACTTGACGCAGCAATAAAGTGCTTCATTGTCATCTAAGCATCATGAGCTCAAACTGCAGAAATAGCCCATAAATTTACAATCATAACAATGTGAGTGACTATTTTACATGTTACAGGTAGTGAATTTACAAGCAGAGCTTACATATTTACAAGCCCACCTTGCAACACTAGAGCTTCCAACTCCACCACCTCCGCCGCCTCAACCTCTCCCAATGCCGCCGCCACTCACAATATTGGACCTCCCATCAGCAGCCTCCATGTCTGCTGCTAATGACTTCTCATCACTCTTTGATCCAATGGCACAATCTTCGTGGGCAATGCAGCATTGCCAAATCGACCCGCGGCAATTTGGAGCCACCGGAGCTCTGACCGACATTCCACCACCAGCCAGAGGCGGCATTGGCAGCAGCGACCTCCAATTGCTGGCACGAGAACTTCTACATAGGTACGGGTCTCCACCGGTGCCATGCTCTGAGGCTTCACCTTTGCCACCACACTCCAAGTGAGACTGACCCAATTAACTTGGTACTTGACCCGAGATCCTTGATGGGTGGGGACCCGAATCCAGAGTTTAATCTCCTTTTTTAATGGGCAAAGCAATTTTCGTATTTTTTATTCTCCCTACCTTTCTTTGTTTATTTACGAACACTAATGAAATTCAATGTTAGTTTATATACATCTTGCTGGGCATATCATATTTCATTCATTTTGTTTACTTATTTTAAAGTTAGATCTATGTTCATTTGGTGGATCTAAATTATCATGAGATTGTTCAAGTTTGAGTCGAACAGGAAATCGCTCAAGAAAAACTTAACAAGTTTAAAAAGTGCATTCAAGTTTGATTTGTTTATATTTCAAAACTAATTTCCAATGAGTTTCAACTTGAGCTGATCACGAACCGAATTGGAGTAGCTCGATTTCCTATACAGTTCCATGATGCATATAGGCTTATCGAGCCAAACTCAGGAAAAAAAAAAAAGAACAAAAAAAGAGTTTTAAAATGTATTCAAGAAACATACACAAAATACTCATAAAAGTGCACAAAATAGAATATGGGTGTTAATAATCTGGCTCGGGGACTTGATACTGAGGTAGGTACAAACTGCATTACAAGCAGAGGTTCCAAATCTTCTTGGACTTTTTGATCATGCTACCACTAGTCCACAGATTATGAAGGCTCAAGACTCGTTGAAGAAATGGAACAAACCAATTATTGGTTTTTTTATTCTGGTATAATATCAGATTGAACACAAGCACATATCCAGAAACAATTAAGCAAGGACTTGGATTGGTCAGTTCAATGTAAGTTAGTACAACTTAGCTACAAGAGTGAGAGAGAGAGAGAGATTTCCTAAAGCCCGTTAAACTCATGGATACAATATCTGCATAACTATCTATTGGAAGGAGAAAAATACTCTAAAGAAATGTCTAAGAAGGCGGCATTACCCAGGAAGCAGGAAAACAAGTTTAATTTACCATAGCTCATCATTGTTCTGTTGCCTGTTTTGCCGGTTTTCAATATGCTGGTAGCAGCTTGCATCCCTGAAACACCACAAAAGACACTAGTTACAAGATGTACTATTTTCTAGTAGTGGACGCAGAAAATTTCTCAATGGCTTTTGCCACAGAATCAACAGATCAGGACACGCAACAACTTAGAGTTACAGGTAACAATATAAAGGCATACCTCAATTTAGTGAAGTACATGCAGGTCAAGCCACATTTCAGCAAGTTTCATAGTTGCAAGCAACACTTAACACTCCACTCAAGACATGGGAGGTATCAAAAATGAGATTAACCAAGAGACCTGAACCAAAGAGCAAAATGCAATCAGATAAGCAAAACGATCAATGTGTTTGATATTACTCTCCACCACCTATTTTATATAGACTTTTCTAAATTTGTAAAGTACTCGTATTAGACACTTGACACGTGGATAAGGGTGTATGGGAAATGTGTCTGATATGCTTAGCAAAAAATGCACCCAACAAGTATGTATACGTAGTCGAGTTTATAATATAACTATGCATAGGATGTCATTTTATACATAAAATGTTATATCTTAATTTGTAAACAAAATTTTGCCTTTACAAAATGAAAGCTCTTTAGAAATATGAAATGTAGACATGTCATGGTGTCATTGCCATTAGAATTAGATGAATTAGACACTTACCCACACCCTATGGAGCTGTTTGGTACAACTTATGGAGCTGTTTATAGCTTTTTATCTTAGAAATTTGTGTTTGATCCAGATTCTACTTACATCCTATGAGATAGAAATAACTTAAATAAGTTGAGAAAAACTAATTATTAGGAAGCATGGGGAGACATGTTTTTAACTTCTGCTCTATAATTATCAGCTTTCAGCTTACTAGAAGCTGCACTGAACAGGCCCGTAGTCCACCACTGCCAACCATGTAATTGGAGAGGGAGAGAGACAGAATTACGCACCTGTAATGCTCCAACAAAGGGAAGTTATGGAGGCAGGCGGTTGAGCATGTTTCCCAAGCAGACACCAAGCAAAGAAAGCTTGAAGCTGAATTAAAAAGCACGTCCTTTGCAGTTGACTTGAATCAAGGCATATTCTTTCAACACAAGATTGACTTCTTCCACTAACCCCAACCTTCGAAACCACCCAACTAGTACTTCTGAAGCTTCTTTTCCAACCATGATACCATCTCTCTCCAAATCTATGAGAAAACCCAGTGCCTTGTTAAGCTTGTTGTCCTTTTCACAAGCAGCCAAAATCAGAGCCACACATTTATCATTGGGTTCAAGACCAGCTCGTCTCAAATTTTCAAACGCGATACAAGCCTTGTGACTATGACCCGCCACTACATATGCATTTATGAGGAGACCGCACAGCTTGGCATCGGGAATGATGCCCGCAAATTGAATTGCATTGAACACCCTTTGAGCTCCTTCACTATCACCGATCATGGAATATGCTCTCAACAAGGCTTTGTAAACTTCTCTTCCGGCATATGTTTCTTGGTCTTCCATTTCTCTAAGTAGACTCTCTCCCTGATCAAGCATCCCAGCTCTAATGTAAGTCATGATCATTGCCCCGTATGATCTCTTATCGAGTGGCACACCAAGTAGCTTCATCTCCTCAAATGTATTTTCTGCCTGTTTAAGATTTCCTGCCTTGCTATACATGTGAATTAAAGCGGTCAGGGTCACTTGATCGCACAGGAAGCCTCTTCTCTTCATGGCCAATAGGATCTTTTCAGCATCTTGCAGTCTGTTTTGCTTTGCATAGCCATGAATTATCTTGGTATAGTCACGAACATTGGCTTCAAATGATTCTTCTAGGAGTGCAAGTTCTGATACCTAAGAGAAAAGCAATGAGCAATGAAACTTGGAAATTTTGCCAAAATTAATCAAAAGACACTACTGAAAGAAATGTTCTATGTAGGGGTCATTGCATCATACAACTATAAAAGGTCAACAGTAAAGTTTCACAATACAGGTTTAAGTCCAAGGGCAGCCAATTCAAGCAAAAACGCCATAGGTTGCATATGTACCCAATCACCCCTCTTAGAACACTGTATTGACAATTGTTTTTGTAAAAGAATGATGCTCTTGTAGGTCATTTTGCACTATCTTCCTCAATTTTTTTGCCCAGAGACAAAAATTGTTGCTAAAGGTATACAAGTCAAAATTACATATGCTTATGCATAATTCGCAGGATATCACTAGCACCTTAACTTTTACTCCAAAACAAAACCAATCTTCCTAATAACTCTCAATTATTAAGCAGAGTTCATAGATTGCTGAAGATGCAATATGCATGTGCTCAATGAAGTTGAAAGAACTGAGCATGTAAAACAGAAGAATGGCAACTTTAAATTTCCATCCAACAAAGTTCATGCAAAAGCACAAGTAGTCCTTAAATGGGACCATCATAATACTTCAAAAGACAAGTAGGACCTATTTATAATCATTAGCAAGAAAGCCATTGCTTAAGACCAATTCAAGGTACACCAAACAGGGAGATGGTCTGAGGAGAACATAGTAGCTAACTGATAATTGAAACATTGTTTCTAATTGTATCCTCTAATTGAAAGGAAAGTCAAAGGCGTAAGCAGTCTACTTGCATATACTCCTTCTATCAATCACAGGCCATCCATGCTTGGGTAATCAACTGAGTGAATCAGCTTTGATGCTTTACAGTCATGGAACCAATTTCGTCTTAGCATTACAAGTTACAAGTTCTTGAGTGGATTGAATGAATCTGGACCTCCTTGCACAAGTGCAGCTAATATGGACTGGGCCAAGTGTTACTTGGTGAGAGCATGTTGAGGGAATCTCAAATTGATCGATTCAAAAGTTTGGCCTCAATGAGTTGTTCAGTGGTTTGCCATGTTGAAAGTATTTTAAATAGCATTAAAAATGATTAATTATACTAACGGCTCCCAAACTGTGTAGTGGCCCTTCGGTCTTCAAAAAACCCCCAAAGATGCGCTTGGGGGCATTTTGGTCTTCAATCTTCCAATTGTGTCAATTTAATACCCAATGGTTAAAATGTGTGTTTAAAAGGTTCCTAAGTCAACACCATCCAAAATTAATGATGGAAGCAACGGTATTTTGGGGAGAAAATAAAAGGACCGAACCAAAAAAATAAACAGAAGAGCAACCAAATGCCTATGTCGAACCTTGGTAAGAACAGAGGTCTCATACTTGAACAGTTCCAAATACATCTCTTACCTATGTTTTTTCTACCCTAAAATTGTTAGTGACATCCTTCAAAACTGGAATGGAGATTACCATGCTTCCGGCTTCGACAACAAGAATAGCACTAGATCCACTACAGCATTACCGCCATGACTGTATGTCTCACTCTTTGCCCCACCATTAACACCGGAACCAGCAGCAGTTTCTTAACAGCATCATGGTCCAAACCTGAAAGGTGAGGATGAATCACCATTGCATTTGGACTATGCACCCTACCGGAATATTTTTGTCTAGCCCTGTAAATATAGAATGCTCCAACCCCAACAGAGCATACTGCGCAAACAAAACCAATTACCAAACCCACAACCACACCAATCAACTTATTGCCACTACTACCCTAAGTATACGTTCTTTACCTGGGTAGATGTACTCTCAGAAGGTGTTTTCGCTGTACCCAGCAATGGTCAGGATAGCGTTGTAAAAAAAGGATGGATTCTTAAAGAGGTCAAGTCGTAAAAGAACATAACGGTCAACGGTAAATGAATCCTTAGAGTTTGCCTTTGAAATCAACAATGTTTCAATGAGAATGGAAACTAGTAAGGGTGAACAAGGTCTGTGAAAGGGGAGTACATCATGTTCTCTCATTTCCATTTGCATAGAGAGCCCTTCCTCCCCCCCCCCCCCCCCAACAAAAGAAATACCACAATAAAGCTTCAAACTATGTTATGTGGGTTATAGCAATCACTTATGATAAAAATGGAGCACCAATAGCTAGAAGTCATAAGCCTGTCTGAGTAAAAAAATGTGAGATTAAAAGTAAATTTGGGATCATCTAAAATTAAATGTTTTCGATAAACAACGATGAACAATATGCACAACATGAGAGCTACAATTAGGAAGATTGGCAGAGCAGTTGTGGAAGAAGAAAAATAATAATGTCAATGAAGCTTATTAAGCTATCTCAACCACTAGGTGTCAAGTAGTATTTCACCATTCAGGCATGCTACTAACTAAGCAGCAACACTAGCCATTCACAATTACACAGGAACCCCATGAGTTTTCAACAACCACATATTACCATTTATGTCGAAACATCCAATTTGAATACTATTATAGAAAGAAAGATATATTACTGTTATTTTATATTCTGCAGTACAAATATCTCTACAGCTGCTGCTTACAACCCCCACCCTACCCATCAAGCAAAAAAGTTATGTCTCCGAGCTCTTAGTGTTTGGTTCCTGAAATGATTTTTAACAGGAATGGAATGGGTATTCCTTGATCTCCTAATCGAATGACCATTGTCCTAAATTGGTGGATGGTGATTCCATTGATGCACGCTCCTCTCCTTTTCAACCAACCAAGCATGGGAATGGGTATTCAGTAGGAATGACCATTTCACTCCAGCTTCATTCAGTGAACAAAACACTGCCTTAGTTTCTTTAGGCTGTGTTTGGTTAGGGATTTGGGAAGGGATTTAGAAAGAGAAAGGAAAAAAGTAATGAAATGTGACTAAAATATCCCTACATTTTACCTAATTTCACACCCCTTTTCCCCAGACTTTCTAAATACCTCCCCAAATCTCCAACCAAACACACCGTTAAAGAGGGATATGTATATACATATAGAGAGAGAGGGAGAGGTCAGTGTGAAATGGAACAATGAGGAAGAATCCAGAAAATAGAATGACAGACAAGTTAAAGACAATCTGAAATTGCAGACAATCAACAATCTTTGGCACAAATAAAATTGCTGATATTAATCTTCTCGAATCTTGATACGAACTACTAAAAGCCAAAAACAAAATCAACAGTGAATTTAAAGCTTAAAAAAAATAAAAATAAAAGGATATTATTAATACCTCAAACGACATTGGGTGATCCAAACAACTCAATTCTTTGAGAACCGTAAGCCAATCAGCTCTATTGGGCCTCATAATCCTCACCCACGCAGCCAACAACTGAGACAGAATGGTCTTTCCAGGAGAGAAACAAATAATCTGCTTCATGAGAGCTTTACATCGTTTAGTCATCTTTGGGGGTAGTTTAGATATGGCCTGTTTCTGAGTTTCTGTAATGTGAGGGCCAATCTCAACCCACCTAAACTTGGAATTTTTCTCTTCTTCCCCAATTTCAACTTTCTCTGTATTTTCTACGTTTGTGGCAACTAATAGAGGTCTAAAACGGAAGTTAGAGACGCTGAGATTTGTGGGTTTTCGAAAGAATGAGGTTTGGTGAAAAGGGTAGTGATGTGTTGTGATTTCGAAGGTAGGTGTAGGAATTGAGTTGGAATGAGAGAGCATATTGCAAGCAAAGAAACCCATTATCGGATTAAACTTTCAAGAAATCATTTGAGCATAGAGAGAGTAGATGAATGCGGATTTGAAGAGCTTCAGGCAGTGAATACTGAAGACCCAGTTAGCATAAAGAGAGAGAGATAAAACGGAGGGTTTTTGTTCTTCCGGAGCCAGAAGCATACACAAGAGGCAGGCTCAAGTGGCCGTTTGGCAATTTGGTTTTTTAGCCCTCGTTTCGAAACAGTTAATTTAGTAACTTTTTGACTATTTAATTAAAATATAAATTAAAAAAAATTAGTATATTTAAAATAATTTTTTAGTTTTTTTACGAACAGATATACAAAAAGTAGAAAGAAAAGAGAATCAGAAATCATTTGAGCATAGAGAGAGTAGATGAATGCGGATTTGAAGAGCTTCAGGCAGTGAATACTGAAGACCCAGTTAGCATAAAGAGAGAGAGATAAAACGGAGGGTTTTTGTTCTTCCGGAGCCAGAAGCATACACAAGAGGCAGGCTCAAGTGGCCGTTTGGCAATTTGGTTTTTTAGCCCTCGTTTCGAAACAGGTTAATTTAGTAATTTTTTTACTATTTAATTAAAATATAAATTAAAAAAAAATAGTATATTTAAAATAATTTTTTAGTTTTTTTACGAAAAAATGTACAAAAAGTAAAAAGAAAAGAGAATCTTTGACTTTTTGGTATGAATTGTTGACTTTTTGACTTTTTTATTAATTTTTTGACTTTTTGACTAAACCAGCTAGTCCCCAAACAAGGCCTTAGTAGTTTTTTTTTTTTTTAGGAAATAAATTAGTGTGGTTGGAATTTTTTTTTTTTGCTTAATTAGATAGGGCAAAGAACCATTAAATTCCTAATTTGGGAATGTTAAATCAGTAAGTCCTGACAGTTTTTTCAAGGACTGATAGGTCATATTTCATGTGTAAAGACAATAATACCCGTTTTTTGAGACGCGTGGGGTTCAACAATCGGGGGTAAATCTGGGTTGGTGTTAATGTGCAATTTACCGAAAAGCCCAACGAGAAGCTGTAGTGTTGTGTGTGATAGAATTCTTAACGTTGCAGAGGGAAGAGATTCGAATTGGATCATGATATTTCAGTGATTCCTGCCGCGTATTTGGCGAGATTGAGTTTTTTAATTGGAAATGTTGATGTTAATACTGAAAATGCCATTTGAGTATGTTGTGCGAACCCTAGTTGCCAAACTTACTAGTTGATTAGAACTCTTCTTGCTAATACGTTGGGTTGATCGTGAGTTTGGTTGTAAGCACCATTTTGGCTATTGCTCCAACGTTGGTATGACATATATACATCGTCGTGGCCGAAGGCTTTGTCGGATACCATGACGCTAGGTATGGGCTGTTAGGGTTTTTGATGTCATAAAGGGTTTTTTTACCCTATAGGGTTTAAGTGAAAATACGTGGTGCAGGATTGAGACTTTGCGATTGCTTGTCTGTATTTGTGCAGTACATTGGGATGATGTTGTTTTGGTAATCAACGTCGTTGTGTGTTGATGTCAGTTGGGGTATGGAGTTTATATTTGTATATTGCGCTGAATGTTGAATTTTATTGTGTTGTTGTCTTGTGGTAATGTAGGTTTGGGTATTTTTTTTGTATAATCTAAACATGGGTGTTGTTGTGTATATGTTATTATGTTGTTGGTTTGTTGTTTGGTGGTTTGGTAATGTAAGTGGGGGTGCCCCTGTTTTTGGGGCATTGAAATTTTGTTGATGGTTGTTATTTTTTTGTGTTGACCAACAATTGGTTTGTATGCACAATGTTATGTGTATAGTACATAATTTGAGTTATATGGAATGTGTTTTCCTGTGTTGGGGATGGGTTTGAATAATTTATTTGTTGATGTTTTTTGTTGATATAGCACGGGTCGTTTGTGTTTTTGTGTTGGACAAATGAACGTTTAGTTGGCATATTTTATTGTTTTACATGGGACAAAAAGGTGCATATAGGTTGAGTGTAATGGCCATTAAACGTTCTTATGGGTTATGTGTTTTCGTATTTCATTTTTAGTGGGACATTGATGTGAGGCGTAGAGGTATTGAGTTGGCCGATATAACGGTTGATTTGCGTGTTTTGTTGTTTTCTAGGGAACTGTGATGTGTATATGGGTTGTATGTAATGGCCATTATACGTTCATTTGGGTTATGTGTTTTCGTATTTGATTGCATGTGAATTGAAATGGTAACTGTACAATATTTGTCAAATGTTTGGTTGCAAATAATATCACTCGTTGGTTCTATTAGCGTGAGAGCCATTGTTTGTGAAAAACACATGTGGAATTTCCCGGTTTTAGATGTTAGTTTGTTGGTAATTATTATATGTGCTCAAATTAACTATAACGATATTGGTGGTTGTGTTTGTGGTATTGTGATCATGTTTGGTAATGTGGTTATGTTATTGTTGTTCCAGGCAGTGCAAAACATCCAAGTGTGGGACCCAATGACAATGGTAGAAGTCAACGGTCACATTCAACAAGACAGACGCCGACTTGTTTGGCAACCAAAAGACAAGCACAGTTGGCATTCAAGAAATGTAAAACTACGTCAAGGACTTTTAAAAAAATGTCATGGACCCATCTAAGTTAATATATTGGTCAAACGTTGCCGGTGTTATCAAAACTATATTGAAGCTTGAGTTTGGTGAAGGGCACGTAAAATAACTACAAAAAACACCATTTTGGCTAATGATTGATGCAATCCAAGTTCATAAATTGGATCCCCATGCGTACAGGAAGTGTGATGCAACCGTGTGTCGTATAATTCAGACATATGATCCAAGTGATGTGAAGTTTCACATCAGGGGAGTGGGCTGCCATTTCGTAACAGTGACATCCGCTTGTTTTTTGGTATCTAATGTGGAAAGGACAAACCAGATTTGGTGTATAGTGGGAAGGCGCCTTTAGATTTTATCCAACGGCAATGTCTGAACGTCAGCAGAATTTCTTCAAAACTAATCAAAGACTTACTTTTGGTGGTAATGCGTGGAAAAACGGAATGTGATGAAGAAGATGTTGCCAAGTTAGTGTGCCTATACATTTGTGCGAAACTATTTTTCGCAATGACATACGAGTCTATTGGGTGGACATTCGTACGGGTGATCGATAAGTTAAACACGTTACGGTTATACGATTGGACAACAATGATTCGTAACGCACTGATTAGTTCATTGAACGAGATACACAGTAGGCCAGAGAAAGTTACCGGCTGTGTAATTGCATTACTGGTATGTTATGACCTTAAGAGATTTGTAGTGTACATTCAACAGATACCTGTTTTTTTAAAACGAATATGATATCATACTTAACATTATTAACTTGCTCCCATGGTTGCAGTTCCTCCTTTGTGAGCACACAACCATTGTGGACCCGGACAGGCGAAATGTGTTACCATAGTTTTGCCGGTAGAACCTTGGGAAGCTCATAGGCAAACTGAAACATGTAGACCTATCAGCGGAGAGATCCATAAAGGTATTCATTATGATTTTTTGCTGAGTTTTGTTTCCATGTTTGGTTGATGTGTAACTTGAAGTTGTTAATTTGTTTTTTGTTTTTTTTTTTTTTTGTAAATGCAGGTTAATACTGTAAAACTTGATAGGACTGTTTTTGAACGTTATTTTGTGAATGTATTAGCTGATACGCATATACATGTTGAAAATGTGTTGGAGGTGGAGTGGGTTAGTAGCTGGGCTGGGGGTGTTAGTAATGTGGATAGTGAGGCAGTTAACATTGTAGAACGCAGTCTAGACTATTGGCAGTCAGATGTGCCACACAGGGGGCGAGGTCAAATTGACGTCAGCAAAGAAGAGAAAAGACATTACTACGAGGCAAACACGTGGTAGACAGAAAGTGGATAGAAAGGTTTCGAGAGCAGGAGAGGCATACCTGAATTTGTTCCTTGACCTGCTAGACTTGGTAAGCACACAACCTGGCTGCAACGTTGTTACCGGTACAACCAATATAAGTGAGCAGTTAAAAAAAATAACAAGGTGAATTATTGAGCTGGAGTGTGAAGTCCGAAAGAAAAATGCACGTGTATGTGAGTTAGACAGTAAGATTGCAACCACAGAGAGAATGTTCGGTGCAAAAGCCAGTAGCATATTTATTGGATTCAACAATGTACTTGTGGCAAAAGATGTCAAGATTGAACGGCTGAACGCGCTAGTTAGGGAAATAGAGGACAAAATAATGGCATTGGAGGACGAAGTTGACGATTGCGAGGTACATGTAGTGACCTAATAAGTACCAAATGATAATTACTAACATCGGACACCACCCGAAAATTATCCCAGCCGAAGTAATGGGTTAGGGTCTGTACCGAGTTGTGACAGTGTGCAGCGTGCCGTATCCAATGGGGAAAAAAGTATCCCACCTTTAAAAAGGTCAGACAAGTACGTGACCGAAATAGATTGGGTAACAAATCTAGTTGATGACCCTGTCGAGTGTGGTAAATGTAAGCATATGGTGGTACGTACTTGCGTTGAAAATGGCAATGTTAATCGGACAGTGGATAACGTCATTAGATCTGATGTTGGCGGTGTAGACGAAGTGGTTAAGGTTGGAGTGAGTAGTCCCGACACAAAGGTGTCATCGTTGGTCAGAAAAGTAAAGGACAAGGAACGACATGAATTTAGATTAAGCGACTATGAATATCCAGAGTTTGTTTGTCGTAGCAAGCAAAATTAAAAGAGAGGCAATATGAGGGAAGTGGGGCCAGAAGTGATATATGTAATTGATGATGTAGGAGCTGAGCAGAAAACGTAGCATGGGTTTGAAATGTCTCGGACACATCATGTGTTAATCGGACGGTGGATGACGTCGTTAGATCTGATGTTGGCGGTGCAGACGGAGTGGACGAAATGGCAATGTTAATCGGACAGTGGATGACGTCGTTAGATCTGATGTTGGCGGTGCAGACGGAGTGGTTAAGGTTGGAGTGAGTAGTCCCGACACAAAGGTGTCATCATTGGTCAAAAAAGTAAAGGACAAGGAACGACGTGAATTTAGATTAAGCGACTATGAATATCTGGAGTTTGTTTGTCGTAGAAAGCAAAATTAAAAGAGAGGCAACATGAGGGAAGTGGGGCCAGAAGTGATATACGTAATTGATGATGTAGGAGCTGAGCAGAAAACGTAGCATGGGTTTGAAATGTCTCGGAAACATCATGTGTGGA